TATTGTGTGAAGGTATGTCTTGATGAAACAAAAAAATTATAAATTAATTTGATATCTAATCATAAATAATATAAAAAATCTAACTCTTTAACAATAATTCATTAACTTTTACAAAAATGAATCATCATCATCATCATCATCATGATCATCATCATGATCATCATCACTTTGTATTTTAATATTAAACTTTAACATAATTTTAATTAATAACTTTTATTCTTTTTAGACACAAATGAAAAAAAATCAATTTTAATGTTATTAAGGCTCAACATGGATATTATTATTATTAATAATTATATTAATCAATCAAGACATATTATTATAATACATGACCACAGCAGCTGAACTCAAGAATAAATTGCATAGATAATAATTAAATAATTTTTATATAACAAGTAATTATCATTTATTTATTAGCCATTAATTAATAATTTTTTTTTTTTTACTTTCTAAAATCTTCTACATGATACAACAACAACAACAAAAAAACCTGATAATTTTTTTATTAAAGCAAACAAACAAACAAAAAATTTAAAAAAAAAAAAAAAAAAAAACTTATTTTGCTTGTCAATTTTTTTTTATACTCCCATTTACATTATTATTATTATTAATTATTAATCTTTTACATTTACATGCATAACATTATTTAAAAAATTTATTTATTATTAATTATTAATTATTATTATTGTTATTATTATTATTTATTATTATCATTACTATCATCATCATGATGATGATGATTATGAACAGAGAGAGAGAGAGAAAGAAAGAAAAAAAAATTAATTATTTGTTAGCTTTTTAAATAATATTTGAGGATGTGACTATTTATTGTTTAAGCTGCTACGGGTTATATATATATATATAAGATTTTAATTATTAATTAATAACTTTTAAAATGCATTAAAATAATTAAAATTTAATTATAATTTATTATTAAGATTTTTTAACCGGCCTGTGAGGGTTTTTGAGATTCCGCCGTGTTGGGTCTTTCCATTTGCTGTTGTGGTGGAGGAGCTTGATATATAATTTGTTGTTGGGGTGGTGCACTATCCGGCATAAATTTGGCTGAAACAAATCAACGTAATTATATTATTATAATATAAATTTATAAATAAATTAAATAATCAACCCTAAACAAAAATTAATTTTATTTTTTATTTTTTATTTTTTAGATGTATTATCTACACGTTATCTACAACACATAATGGTATGTTATTATATTATTTTTCTTATGTATATATATGTGTGTTTAACTCTTACGCATATACATACATGAACATATTTTTATACATAATATTATTAAAAGCGTAATTAATAACATCTAAAAATACACGCACACGTACACATAGAGAGAGAGAGAGAGAGAGAAGAAAGAGAGGCAAAATATAAGGGAAAGTAAATAAGAGAATGTTTGAAAAAGCATTTTTGTATTATATCAATCATTTTACTTAAAATAATAAATGTTTCTCAACTTTGTATTATTAAATCATAAATTTATTTATTAAAACTCACAAAATGAAAAGAAAAAAATAATTAATTTCTATTTAAAAGTTGAGATACATTTATTAATCTACGTTTATGTTTTTTTTCAAAATGGCGATTTTTCTTACACACACACACGTGTTTGCGTTACTTTAGAAAAGCATTTTTTTATGAAGAAAATTTCCTTTTTGTTAAATGAATGATCATGAGTCGTTACGTTATAATAATAATAATAATAATAATAATAATATCGATCGATTAAATTTTTTAAAAGAATTTTGTTTTGATTACAAAAAAAAAAAAATTTTTTTTTTATGTAAAAAATGAAATTTGACGATGATGGTAAATTATTTATAAAAAAAAAAATAAATAAACCGCCATTTTATTAATTAAAAAATATTAATAAATAATTAATGTTGTTATTATTAATAAAATTAGTTACAAGGAGGAGATACATAGGCTCTAAAAAAAAAAAATAAAAATTACACATCGATCCTATAAAAATATCGAACAAGATTTCATTTGAAAATTTTTATATATTTAAAAATTGAGTTAGAGTGAGAGAGAGAGAGATAGTTAGAAACTTAATTAAATGAATTTAAAATGATTTTCAAATGAATTTCTTGCTTGAAATCTAAACAAAAAAAAAAAAAAAAGTATGAAAAAATAGCCACATATACAAATTATTAACATAGATATTATTATTTAATTATATATTAATTTGTTTTTTCTAACCTTTTTTTTATTATATATTTTCTTCATAAAAACATTTTTCATATTCGACTATATAATTAAACATGAGTTACACGAGTTTAGCTAAAAGAAAATAAAAAAAATGATAAAAAAAAAATGATAAATAAAAATATTCAATGAAATGACCTTTTTTTTTTTTTTTAAAGAAAATTCAATCATAAACGAAATGAAAATTTTTTTACAAAAAGAAAAGAAAATTTATGAAAATGATGATTGTGTGTAGGAAAATATTTTATTCGTGATAATATACGTTAGGAAAATGATAAGAAAATTTTATTTTAATAAAATTTAAATAGTGAGAAAAAACAATCAAATTTCATGCAAAATTTTTTTAAAATAGAAGAAAATCAAGTCGTGAATGAACAATAATGGGGGGTGAGAAAACATAAGAAAACATAAATTTTTGTGAATTTGTTTCCTTTCATTTCATTTAAAAAACAGGAAATGAATTGATAAACATAAATTTTTTTTCATATAACAAAATGTTTGTAGCATTTATGAAACACGGGGGGTATATTCGCTTTAAGAAAAACAAACGGAGAGAGGGGGAGAGGGGTAAAAGCAATTTTGTTTATTATTATTATTATGAGTTTAATTAAAAATTTATCTCACCTATGATAATAGCCAAAATAACCAAACCGATGACACCCATTATGATCATCATTTTCAAATTTTGTAACCAAAATTTTCGTTTTAATTTTCCTGCTTGTTGTTCGAATTGTGATGCTCCCTGTTGCAAAGCATCTGTCAACAAAAAGAAATAATTTCATCATCATCATCATCATCATCATTTTAAATAATTTTAAATAATTTTAATTACTCACCAGCTCTGTCATCGAGTTCGGAAAGTTTCTGATCTCTTTCCAATACTTTTTCTACATTTGTTTTCATTATATCAACTACCTGTATGTGAAAAAATAAAAATTTTTTTTTAAAAAAAAAAATGTAAAAGAAAATTAACATTAAAAAAAATTTTTTTATTTTTTTTGTTTTTTAAGGACCTCATCGACTTGGGCTTGAGTTTGCTGTAACCTTTTCTGAGCAGCAATCTGTTGTGGTGTTCTAGGTCCTCCAATTGGTTCACCATCTGGTCCAACCTGTGGTTGTAATGCACCTGGATGACCGCCTGGTCCACTTTCGGTAGCCCTACAATAATGAGTAAGTTTTTATTTAAATTTTTTTTCCCCTGCCTCTCTTCCCCCCCCACGCTTTTAGATTACACTTTTCGAAAAAATAACAGGGTGAATAAGTCTATTTAAATTATTATTATTATTATTATTATTATTCAATAATTTTTTATAATACATAATCGATACGACGTAAAAATTTTCAAATCACTTTTTCGTTTTTCTTTTTTTTTAATAAAATAATTTAACCGGATTAAATTATTAATAACAAAATTCTTAAGACTAATAATAATAATAATAATAATATATAATAATAATATATAATAATAATATATAATAAATACGGAATAAAAAAAAAATAAGAAAAAAAATTAAAATGTCGTCGAAAATCCAATTATTATCATCATTATTATTATTCGTTTTCTTATAAATAAATAAATGAATGAATGAATGAATTTAATAGTAATAATTAAAATAAAAACTTACATTGTTAAATTATTATTATCGTTATTATTGTTATTATTATTATTATGGTTTTTTTTTTTTTTTGATTAAATTACGCTAATAATCAATCGATTTTCATAAAAGAAAAATTTTACAACTTCACTCTGTTACCGTCAAGTATTGACTTTCTCGAATTTTTTTTTTTTTTTTTTTTCAATTTCGATATATCGAATTAAAAACAACACACGACACTTGGAAAATTCATATTCGAGCGCTTAAATCGTTTTAAAAAAAAAAAAATCTTTATTTAATTTTTTCTTACAAAAAAAGAAAAGCTATCGAATTTATTTATTTAATTTATTAATTATTTTATCGTTTAATAAAATGTCGTTCGGATTCGAATCATTTTATTTATTTATTTATTTTTTCTTTTCGAATAATATAAAAACGTTATAGAAAATTTTTACGACGAAACGAAATTCGGTTTCCGGAAAATCGATTTTTTTAAATAGACACATTGCAGATAAAAGGGCGTTGCGCTTACGCGACAAGAGTTTAGATTTAAAACGTGATATGTGCTTTTTTAAACGATTCGTATATTATTATTATTTTAATATGATTCTCATAGTAAATTGTTTCCCCCCTTTAGAATTATTAAAACGACACAAATTATTGATTTTTTTTTTTTTATTTCTCTTAAATGTATATTCGTGACGTGGAGTAGGTGTTGGGAAAATTATTAAATAAATAAAAAAAGTTTAAATAAAATTGCGTACGTGAATTATGTAATAATAATAATTAATAAGTGTAAATAACGTTATCAAATGTTACAAAATGGCGATCAAATACTAAAAATGCTATTCACCCTTTGAACGTAAAATTATTATTTAATATATATTGTTTGATAATTGTTTTTCCCATATGATTAACATAAGCGGTTTATTAATATAATAAATGATTTAAATTTTCCTCGAGTTTTTTTTTTTTTTTGTATGGTCTTAGGAACGAAGGAGATTAAATCACATTTTTAACTTTTTAATTTTGTCTTACGTTATTTATTTTATTAAAAAAATAAATAAATAAATAAATAAATATCGTGATATTTAATAAATTTATAAAAAATTAATGTGTAATATGTTAAAGTTAAATGTTATATCAATTTAAATTGTAGAAATATCATTATTATTAAAAGGATTGTTGTAATGGATGTAATATTGTATTAAATTTTATTTTTAAATGTTTATGTATAAATAAAGGAGGTAAAAATGTTTTATTGAAATTGTGACTCAATTAAATAAATAAAGCATGTCGATTGTTTAAAATTGTCGTGGAAGTAATTTTTAACACAAATTATTTACACTTTAAAATGAAATGCAACAAGTCGATTTCATTTGAAACATGTAATCTATGGTATTCAAAATGTCTTCATCAACAGAGGAGTTAGGTGAATGAATTTAAGTTTTATTTTCAATTTATAATTAATTTTATTAAATAATTATATTATAAAATTATCAAAGTTATGATTACAACTTTAATCGTTTAGTTTTGTCCTGTCCGGCATATTTAAAACGAAATTATTACATTTACGACTACTATTTTTACTATTGTCGTTCAAAATTCGCTTATCATTCGCATTTGAAATTTCAAAATTTTAAATATCACAAAATAATATTTCAGTTAATTTTTTTTTATGAATGAAAATATTTTTTTTAACTGGTTCATACTGAATTAACGTTTTGTTAACGACGTGAATGATTTTATTGTATTTTAATTATTGGAAAAAAAAATTTTTTATTTTATTTCATTACAGATCTTTTGGAGAGAGTTTTTTTAAGAGTGGGTTCTGCTGATTCAGATGAACAGCTTGAATCGGCAATAAATAAATTTTTAATACCGGTGCTGTTAAAATTATCGAGTCCAAATGAAGGAGTTAGAAAAAAAGTTATGGAACTTCTCGTTCACATCAACAAAAGAGTTAAAAGGCAACCAACTGTGCAATTACCAGTTGAGGCTTTATTACTTCAATACAGGGATCCCAAAGCGACATCTTTTTTCATTGTATGTTAATTGTATTATATGTATTTAATAATTGTTTTCCAATTTCAAATATCGGAATGTAAGATCGAAGTTTAAGTTTTACAATATCGATTGTTTTACATGCACATTTACTGAACTATAGAAAAATTTTCAATTATTTAAAAATTATTTATGTTATGCATTGCTGCATCATATTTTATATTAAATAACTTAAATTAACTTATTAATTGCATTTTTGTATTTCTCATTACTCTACCATTTTTTATTATTTCTTTTTTTTAAATGTCGACAAAATTTTATTTAGAAAATTGTTGAAGTAATGTTTGCTTCCTGTACAAGTAGATTTTATTTTTTACTTTAAAACATAAATTACCCTGTTTTTTTAGAATTTTTCAATTTTATACATCAAATTGGGTTTTCCAAGATTGCCTCCCAGCAAACAAGAAGAGTTGGCTCCAATTTTATTATTAGCAACAGAAGGAAAACCTAAAATTCACCAAGACAGGTAATTATTTTATTTTTAAAATATTTTAAAATTTTTTTTTGTTTTAATCGTGATTAAATAAATAATTTAATTGTAAAATATTTTAATTGAAAAAATTTTCCTTTCAGCCTTCTTTTATTGCTAACTAGCATTATAGGAAATGTGAAAGTTCCAAATGATGTTGAGAAAAAAAAAGATTTATTTAAAATGAATGAAAAACCTGAATTAATGAAACATTTTTCAAGTTTTATGTTGGACATGCTATTGTTACCTTATGTTCATATCAGGTAAATGATGTAAACATGTATTTTTCATAATGTTAAAGTAATTTTATTTTTTTTTAATGCTGTATTAAAAGCAAATATTTTTTTATTATTCAAGTTCTAATGATGAGGAATCATCACCTAGTGTTCCATCAAACATTCAACCACCGCCAGGCATGTCAGAAAGTGGTTTTAAACGTGTTACATCGGGAGATACTCCAATGACACCGGAGCGTTTGGAACAAACAAAGTTAGGAATAGTTAAATTCTTAGCTACTGGGGTACTTTCAAATAACGATATTATTTGTCACTTAATAATAGCAGCGGCTGACACTAGATTTACAGTAGCAAATTTAGCAGATGCAGAGCTTAAAAAAGTCGCAAGGTTGTTAATAAATTAAAATTTTATTTATGAGGGTAAAAATGGCAAATATTACAATTTTTTTTTTACTTGTGTAGTTCGGTTGACTGGTCTAGCGTTGCAGTAGCCAGTAGACTTTTTTACATATATTTGGGTTCGCCAGAAGTGCCACCCGAAAAAAGAAACATAATACCTCCTGCAAATAGAGTCGTTCCCGCAAACACGAGAATTCGTCTGAAAATTCTTCCTTATTTATCGAGACTCGAAAAAGATGCCGTTCTTTTTCCCGGAAGCGTTCAAATTATATTTAGTTCATTGTACGACGTCAACACAAATGCAAAGTTAAAGTTGCAAGCTTTGAATTTCGCTTTGGCGATTGTTAGAAAGTAAAATTAATTTATTTTTTTTTTAAATGAATTACAAATTTATAAATACATTATTTAATCCATTTTTTTTTTTTTTTAAATTATTTTTCAGATCCGAAATTCAAAATTTAAAAAAAATGGCAGGAATGCTTTACTCAGGTTTATTGAAATTAGTTTGGAACGAAGAGGAAAACGAACAACTTCGAGTTGTCGGTTATACCGTGATTGGTCAAATAGTCAAAAGGATGCCGCGGATAATAAACAAAAATTTAATCGAACTCCAAGCTTTTTTTAAAAATTTAACTTCGGAAAGTACGGAAATACGGGGAGCCGTCAGAGATTCCATGTTGACAATGATAGACGCATTTAAATTATTCATGAAAGAGGATAAAGCTGATCCGAAATCGAACGGACAATTTTTCATGCTTGCTTTATTGACGGCTCAAAGTCAGTCGCCGGAATCAATGGCCAGATTTGTTGCTGTCAAATATATTGCTGCTGCGTTTGATTTTGATCACGTTCCGAGCAGATACCTCTTGTTGTTGTCTTCAGGGGATTCGTAAGTTTTCGTCGAAAAAATCCCCCCCCCCCTTTTTTTTTTTTAAATACATTTTTTAACTTTATTTTTGTTCCTTTCAGAAATACTGACGTGTCCACCGTTGCTCATCAATCGATATATTCTTCTGGGGAAAATGAAAGTTCGAAAGAGAAAAACATTGTTTTACCCGATTTTCGTGAAATGTCAAAATACGTATACGAGAAAGCCATGGAAAGAATGAAAAACGTCAATCAGAGAGTCACTGTTCAAAATCAAGAATTGCCTTTCAACGACACAACCTTTACTGAGGTAATTTAAAATTTTTTTTTTTTTTTTTTATTCAGAAAAAAAAGTATTTTGGTTCGCGTAAGTTAAAGGTTTTTATTTGTTCTAGATTTTAATTTATTTAAGATTGTGTTTAGCTAAATCGGCAGGAATCGAAGTGAAATCGAAAGAACTATTAAATCATCCTTGCGAACATTCACCATTGATCGGGAAATACATATGGGAAACGAATGAATCGGATGCAACCATTTTCAATAATTATTTGTCTCTCGTTGAAATGTATTTGTCTGCAACTTCATCTTTGATACCGTTAAATTGTTTGCTAGAAGTCGTCGGTACTTCACCGGAAGCTTTCGCGCCACGTTATCAAGAAAAAATTCAATGGGTGACGGTAAGCAAACGTTTCGATGCGCAATTGTTCGTAATTAAAAAACATCAACTGAAATAAAAACTTATTTGGTAGATTGTACGTTTGTGTTTACGCGCATTCGTTATTTTACAGAATTTTTTAAATAGCACAAAAGAAGACATAAGAGAAACAGGGTCATTATTTTTTAGTATAATTAGCATTTACACAATGAACGACAACGATCTTAGTGGAATCGTTCAAAATTTGATGGAAAAATTAGAGACAAAATCGGTCGAAAGTCAGCACGGAGCCATACTATCTCTTGGTTATCTCATAGAAAGAAAAATATTAAAGTCTTTGTACGAGAGGCAAAATTTCAATGACGTCATAAAAAATTGGGAATTTTTAGGAGTGGTCATATCCGAATTAGGTAAAAGCGTGTCGTCTCTCCCTCTGTTCTTTAAAACTTGATTATCACGAGATCACAATCAAAGTGCATTTTTTTTTTTTTTTTTTTTTTATAGCAAAACATTTGGAGAGCACTTATCCCATGCTTGTATCGGCTTCATGCACGGCTCTCGGTCAAATAGCCAAAGTCTTACCTTTACCTTTGCCAAATGAATCCGACGAGGGTCTTTCTAAAAAAAAACTCATGATGAATTTATTCCAAGTTGTTAACAATCCGAAATTATCGGCTAAAGTGAAAGAAAAAGGTATAAGAGCTGTCGGTCTTTTGTGCGTAGGAGAAAAATTTCCATTCATGAAAGAACTCGTCGAAGAACTTTTGTCGACCGCCAAACAGGTCTCGATATCTATTAATTTAAATTTTCACGATTTAATTGATACTCAAAAAAAAAAAAAAATTTTTTTCTAAAAGAATGTTTTCTGTTACAGATTAAAGACATCGATCTTCATTTCTCATTGGCTGATGCTCTCATTTACTGTCTCGAAGGTGTTTCTTCGGCAGAAAAATTCGATTCGTGGAAAGATGACAAAAATAATTTTCATCGTCCTCCCATGTTGGAAGAAAATTTAAATTTGCTCAAATGGCTCATGGATAAGTTGGTCGAATTAACGCCGTTGCCTCATCCGAACACTCGTCAAGCCATTTGCGTGTTTTTCTTATCCATCATCAAACGAATGTCTCACGTTCCTTTGGTTGTGGAAAATCTTTCGAGCATGCAGTATGTCTTTATGGAACTTTTATCGGATAACAATGGTAATTTTAATTGTTTTTTTTTTTTTTATTTATGTCGGATAAATGATTGACAGACTTATTGTATTCTTTTTAGAACTCGTACAAGATATGTCATCGAAAGGATTGGCTTTGGTATATGAAAATTCGGATGAGGAAAGTAAGAAAAATTTAGTGGCGGGACTTTTAGATCAATTACTGGCGGGAAAGAGATCCGTTCAACAAGTTACCGGAAATACAAAATTATTCGAAGAGGGTCAATTGGGAATTTCGCCCAGCGGAGGAAATTTATCGACTTATAAGGAACTTTGCAGTTTGGCATCGGATCTCAATCAACCGGACCTCATTTATAAATTTATGCATTTAGCCAATCACAACGCAGTTTGGAATTCTAAAAAAGTACGTGTTGATTATTTGATTGCAAACAAGTAAAAAAGTTTTTGGCATTTAAGAAAATTTTTTTTTTTTTTTAAAGGGAGCCGCTTTTGGATTTCAAACCATTGCCGCACAAGCCAACGATCAGTTAAATGAATACCTACCCAAAATAGTTCCTCGTTTGTACAGGTATCAGTTCGATCCGACTCCTAGAATTCAACAGTCCATGTCTAATATTTGGTATTCGATAGTTAAAGACACACCGAAGACACTCGACAAGTATTTCAACGAAATATTAGACGATTTGTTATTTAATCTCACGTCGAATTTATGGCGCGTAAGAATTTCTTGTTGTCAAGCTCTCGCGGATTTTTTTCGTGGAAATCGCAGTTTGTTGGTGAGTACATTATATTTTTATTTAAATATTCCATTTAAATCTATAACGATGTCGGTATTTTTTTTAAGGATGCCAAACCTAAGCTACCTCAATTATGGAAATCACTTTTTCGCGTTATGGACGACGTACACGAAGGCACAAGATTAGCAGCTCAAACAACGGGAAAAACGTTGGCCAATCTCTGCCTGAGAACATGCGATAAAGAAGCTGGAAAAATAAATCAAGAAATGTTAAATATTTGTCTTTCGATTTTTCTTTCCGAAGTAACAAATCCCGTCGCCGAAGTGAAAAATTTATGGTAATTTTTTTTTTAAAAAACTTGAAATGATTTTCACGTATTCATTTTAATATAAAATAATGATGATGATTTAGTTTGCATACAATTTCCCAATTGGTCACATCAGCCGGTTCAAGCCTGAAACCTAATTTAACGACTCTTATACCGTCTCTATTAGAAGCAGCAGGAGAATTAGAATCTGTAAAACTTTCGTATTTGTCGGCTCAATATGGCGCTCAAGCTCAAAGTCAAGAAGTCATCGATGTAGTTCGTGCAAATATAACAAAATCTCATTACACGACGCAAACCGTCACTAAAGTAAAAAAAATTGTTTTTTTTGTTTTTAATTTTTGTTTCGATGATGAAATTGAACGAATGATCGTGAAAATTTTTTTGATTTGTCGTTTTAGTGCGTTCAATACGTCGAAGTGGAAATGTTGGATGCTCTCGTACCTAAAATAATTGAAATAATGAAAAGTGTAAGTTTCGGATCACGAATAGCTTGCGGACACATAATCATATTACTTGCACATCATTTGGGAAAATCGATGGAAAATTACACGGGTATTTTTTTTTTTTTTTCGATATTTTTTTAAATGTGATTTTCCATCGTTTATTTGATATTTTTTTTTTTTTTTTTTTCATTAAGGAAAATTGCTTTCCGGACTCGTTAACGGTCTGCTGGACAGAAACGCAACAGTTCGGAAAACTTATGCTTCGGCCATTGGACAAATCTTACACACGGCAAAAGATTCGACGGTCGAAAAACTTCTCACGAAACTCTCGAATTGGTATTTCGAAAAGGAGGATGCAAACACGAGGACTGCCATCGGTTGTTCTCTCCAGGCCATAGCTCAGTACAACGGAGAATTGCTCAAGGAACAATATCCCATCGTTATCCCCTTGATATTTTTTGCCATGCATGCGAAAAAAGTTGAAGGAGGTGAGTGATTGAAATTATTGTCTGGGAGCCAATACAATTTGGGAAAAAATTATTTTTTTTTTTTGTTTAAATAGAGGATAACAGCAACGTTACAATGTGGGAAGATATTTGGAACGACGTCACTCCTGGATCCGAAGCTGGAATCAAACAACACATGAACGAAATAAATTCAATTTTAGAAACGACGTTAAATTCTCCAAGTTGGATGATGAAATCTCAGGTGAATGAATAATAAATTGAAATTTTTTTGTTTTGGGAACGATGGGAAAATTATAATTAAAAAATTTTGTTTTCTTTTATCAAAAGAGCGGCCGATGCATATCGACGATCGCGATAAAAGTGGGTCACTTGATAGAAGACAAACACAGAGACAAACTCATCGATTTGTCATTGTCGTCTCTCCAAGGAAAAACGTTTCCCGGAAAAGAAGATTTGCTCAAGGGACTCGCGAAATTGTCGTCTCGTTCTTGCGAATCACTCAAAAGAAAACCGGAAAAATGTCAGGCAATAGTCGAAGCCATTCTTCGGGAGTGTGGAAAAAGTGAGCCGACGTATAAAAGACACGGTCTGGAAGCACTGGGAGAAGTTTTGGAAGCTTTCGACAACATTGATTATTTTCAAAGGGTTTACGATATAATTCACGCACTTTTGAATCAGGTAAGAAAAGAAAGGGAGAGGTAGGGAGAGAGAGAAAGAGAGAGGAAGAGAGAGAAAGAGAGAGGAAGAGAGAGAAAGAGAGAGAAAGAGAGAGAAAGAGAGAGGAAGAGAGAGAAAGAGAGAGGAAGAGAGAGAGAGAAAGAGAGAGGAAGAGAGAGAGAAAGAGAGAGAAAGAGAGAGGGAGGGAATTGAAATTTTTTTTTTTTTTTTAATTTTCAGCTCAACGAAAAAATGGAAGAGGGAGAAACGACGGAAGATTTGACAAAATTAAGAAACGATAAATTTAAAACGATCGAAATAATTTACGAAACACTCGGTAAATCGTGGCCGAAAAACAAAGAAACTCAACTCAAGTATCAAGAAGTACTTTTAAACGAATGTTACGTGGCATTAGAAAACAGTCCGAGAGACGTTCAAGTCGCCATTTTGTCAGCGTTTCGTTCCTACATAGACAAACTTCATTATTTCAACGATGATTACGTCATGTCGAAAGAGGAAAAAGACACGCTGCCGTTCATATTGCAGAAAACGACGAAAGCGCTTCACTACTCTTTAGGTATTCCCAGATTCGTTTTTTAGGTATTCCCCCAGATTTTTTGTTTTTCCTAACGGGATGAGTATGTTGCAGGAGTTCCGAAGCACACGAGACTGAGAAAGGAAGCTTTAAACATTGTTTATTCCCTCGGGAATAAATTGAGCACGACGGGGAGAAACGAAGAAATGAAAGGTTTTATCGAATCGTTAAAAACTCGTTTACAAGAATTAGAAAAAGATTCAAGTCCGGAAATCAGAACGAGATTATTGGATTTGAAACAAATGTACAAGAGTTAAAAAAAAATGTTTAAAAAAAGAAAGAAAGAAAGAAAGAAAGAAAACAACAAACGGATTTTGTGTTTGTTTTATTGTTTTTGTTTTTCCTGTTTGAATTTCCTCGAATAACAGAAAAAAATAAAAAAAAAATAAAAAGACTCCGTTAAAAATAAGAAAAATTTTCATTTGTATTAATTTTATTATTATTTATATAATTATTATTATTATGAAATTTGTATTATTTTATTATTATTATTATTATTATTATTATTATTATTATTATCATCATCTGCTTTTAATAAATTTCAGCTTTTTTTTTAAAAAAAACGAAAAAAAACCCCCCGAAGAAAAAAAAAATATTTTTTTCAAAATATAAAATTGGACAGCTGATCTGAATATGCAACAATAATAATAATAATAATAATAATAATAACAAGGTTGTGATATTTTAAAGGCCTTGAACGTTTTTAAATTTAGCAACATTCAAGTTAAGAAAACTAACAACTGCTACCACTAACGCCGCCACTACTACCACCACCACCACCACCGCAACAACTCCTACCTTCGCACGGTAGTTTTTTTTGTTAATAAAAAATTATTAAAAACAAGTTTTAATATTTATATCGAACGTTTTGTAATTAATTAAAAAATATTTAAGACGGACGCAAAATAATTTTATTATTATTATTATTTCAGGTACGATAAAGGATGAATTTTTTTCCTTTTTTTAACTCCCCCCTCCCCCCGGATTTCAAACTTTTAGGAAAAATATGCGTCGTAACGGCCTCAAACAAAAAAATTAAAATTTATAAATTTTTTTTTAAAACGGAAGTTATAATTATGAAAAAAACGTGGATTAGGTCAAAAGTTAATTAAATTATACCAAATGACCGCGATTAAGTGCGATTCAATTAACAACAACAACAACAGCAAAAAAATTCAAAATGGCGGTAAATAAAAATTTTTTTGTGAGATTTAAACGAAAAAAAAAAAAAAAATTAGACTAATTTAAACGCAGCCTTGAATATTTAATTGAAATTTTTCCGCAAAAAAAAAAAAAAATTTAATTAACAAGTTTTTCTTCCTCCACGTTTTTTTTTTTTATAAACAATGATGATATCGTAGGTAGAAAAGTCATCATTTTATTAAATAATTATCGGAGGCGTACATAACACACGTGATCTTATAAATAATAATAATAATAATTATTTAATTTACAGGTTTAACATGGAAGAAGAAAAATTATTTAAATAAAAAAAAAATTATTTATTAACAACAAAAACAAATTATTAATATTATTATTATTACAATTATTTATATATATGTGCACATTTATCGCTGTTGCTGTCTCGAAAAAAAAAATGAGAACAGAACGAGAAAAAGATGGAAAAACAAAAAAAAAAAAGGATGAATGGATGGAAAAGGGAGGTAGTAGAAAAGGAGAAAAAAAAAAAAAAAAAAAAGAAAATTTATCTATTCTAAAAATAAAAAGAAATGATAAGAACGTTAAAAAAGAAAATGGCTCACGACGATTTGATTAATTCAACAAGGCAGGAGAAATAATTTCCGGTTTTTTTTGCTAACCTTTTACCGTATTACCCGGATATCCGGTCGAAAGACCATGAATTCCTGTTGAAAGGACTGTTGTAACTGTATCTGTTATCCGTTTGAAACGGCCTGTTGTAAACTGTAAGAAATTTTTTTTTTTTTATATTTTTCTTCAAAACATTTCCCAAAAACAAAAAAATTATGACGTCATCAAAATGGCGTCGACTACTTGCATCTCTTAATATGAAAGAGAGAAAATTTTATTTATTTTTGTTTCACCCGACGTCAAATTTTATTTTAAATTTTATTATATAATAATAAGAACAAACGGGTGACAAACAAACAACATAAACAAACAAACAAAATGCAATCGAGTGAATAAATAAATAAAAAGTGACATTAAAGGACAAATGATACGAAGAAAAAAGGGACCGCCCCCTTTTTTTTTTTTTTTTTTTTTTGTAACTAAAAAAATACAAAAAAATTTATTTAGAACATTCGATAATAATAATAATAATATTTTTAAAACAAAAGCTTTTCTTAGAAATTTTTACACTATTATTATTATTATTTTAGGTAAAATGACGAAACAAAATGGAAGAAGAGAAAAAGGAAAATCATTTTCAAGTCGTTTTTTTCTTAAGAATTAAAAGGTGGTGACGTTTGTGACGTTGGTGGTGGTTGTTGTTGTTGTTGTTGTTGTTGTACCTAATCAGACCTTATTTCGACGCCGACGTTTTTTTTTGCCATTTACGGCAAACTTTTAAAACGGAATTCGAGGTTAAAACATGTCAGAAAAACGTCGCCTACTTTTAATGAATGGTTAGTATTGCGTGTACTTGCAGAAAACACGCGGAAAACTCGTGGAAAACTTGCTGCAATTTTCAGCAACAAAGAAAAGGGGGAAAAAGAAACAAAAAAAACCCGAAGGATTTAATTTTATTATATTCGCGTGTGAAATAGTTTGTCAAAAAAAATTAGTATCCTTATCGTTTAGTCCGTTATTTGAACTTTGATTTATGGCGACAAAATTATTATTATTATTATTATTATTATTATTATTATTATTATTATTATTATTATTATTATTATTATTATTATAAAATGAAAAATTAAGGTCGTTTCAATGTTGGTTATGTAAACATTTTTTTTTTTTAAAAAAAGAATTTGTCGCTCGTTAAAAATTATTAATAATTTTTTATTATTATCATGATCATTATTATTATTATTATTGTTTCAGTTGTCGTAAGATGCATATAAATCGTTTATCCAGGATTTTAATTAACGTGCAAATGGACAATCGTCGAATTGTACGGGATCCATTCGTGTTTCGTAAGGACATGCGGATACAGGATGGATAAAATCTTCCAGTACTTCTACGTCATCGATTTCGGATAAGGAAGTTGTGGGTGACGTCATAGTTTCCGTGGTGAGTTTTTCATCTTTTTCATCGTCTATAAGAGGAGGGGGGAGAGGAGAAAACAAAATCATATCATCGTTTGTTTGTATTCGGTTGTTATCGTTCGAATAACCCTCAACATTGTACGGATTGCGTTTTCCTTTCCGCCTTTTTCTTCTTAACAATGAAAAATATCTTTTTCTCGAGGAAGTCGAAAACGTCATCATAACTTAGTCATAACACGATAACGAAAAAAAATTTTTCTTTTGTAAATTTTTGTGAAATTTTTAAATGACCTTCTTTTTGTCTTATTGTATTCAAAATTCGAGGAGAAATCGATGTATCGATCGATCGATCGATTCCGCGAGATGTAGGAAGAAAAAAATTTTCGAAGGTTTTTATTATAAAAGGGGGGCGGGGGTTTCCCACTTTTACCCCTCATATAAATTAATTAAACGTTTTATGTATATAATAAATGTCGAGTATCGATCGATAAATCGTTTTATTATCGTACCTCGTAATTAAATCGATAAATCGATCAAGGTCAATCATATCTTACCTGGAACGTTAGATGCACGATTCGGACTCGGCGTTCTGAATGCAATGCAAGTCGGTTTTATCTGACAGGGAGGTTTGTCGCAATTTTCTTGTCTTATTGAACAAAAATGTCCGACCGGACATTTCATTGCGGCACATCCGGTTTTACCGACTCCCGGTTTTCTTTTGCACGTCGGATAGGTACCACATTTATCGGTGTATCCCGTGCATTCGTCTCTTTGCATGACGCATTCTTCTCTCACGGTGCAAAGGATATCTTTGCACGTTCTTCCATATTCTTGAAACCGGAAATGGAAAAAAGAAAAATACGAAATTATAATATTATGTTTTAAATCGTCGCGAACTATCTAGAACAAGAACGTGAAACGGTAGATACCCATCGAATGAGAGTACCTGTTAAAACCTTTTAACGATTTAAAAATAAATCATTATTATTATTATTATTATTATTATTATTATTATTATTATTATTATTATTATTATTATTATTATTATTATTATTATTATTATTATTGTAAAATGGAAAAAAAGAAAAAAAATCTCGTTTTTATTTTATTCTATGGGGAAATTTTTTTTTTTTTTTTTCGTAATAAAAATTCTTCGTTTAAATTACGAAATCGATTCAACTTTTTTTTTTTTTTCGATAAATTTTTCGTTTTGCCCCCTCCCCCGAGCCACCCGAGCCCCCCGTACCCCTCTTTATTTCCTCGCGAGTTAATAATTTCTACTCAAAAACGACACGGCGTTAATAATGATAATAAATAAATAAATAAACGAAAGAAAATAAATAAATAAAAATAAAAGAGAGAAAATAATAATAATAATAATAATAATGGTAATGATAATAATAATAATAACTTACTGTTATAAGGACTGGCGTCTGATAAACACAGAACAGTTAAAATAACAAATAAAAATGCGAGTAACGACCTCATCTCGTCGGTAACGTTTTTAGCACTGATTAAATTGTCCTCACGGTGGTCGAGCCCCGCGAGGCCCCACCACCACCACCGCCGCCACCGCGACCGCGACCGCCATCATCATCTGCAAATGCGTATTTTAAACGCACTCTCGCGCACACATATTATTATTATTATTAAAAGAAAGATGTCTACGTTTCCACGTTTGAACTTGTTCTCGTAATCACCCATTTAAATTTATCATCATCATTATTATTATCATTATCATTATTTAAATCTAGTTTTACTATTTAAGAATGGAATGGAAAAAAAATAAAAATATTTGGTTTTGTTCAGGTTTTCGGTTATTATCATTATTATCATTATTATTATCATCATCGAATGAAAAAACATTCACGAATTGTTTTTTGCGTCCTTGATCGTTATTTTAAATATGCAGCGTTTTTTTTTTAAATTTGCGTAAATCCGCGTAAAAAAAAAAAAAAATTTGAACGGAACCGGAAATAATTGTTTTCGGGGTAACGTCGAAAAAAAAAATTTTTTAATTTAAAAAAAAAGGCGGGAAAATTCAAAACTTTTGTTTTTAAAATTTTCTCAATGAGAGAAGGCGGTGAAATTTTACAAAATGGAAAAAAATCGTTTTACGTTGGATTATTCGAAAAATTTCTTTTTATATTTAGAAATCAGTGCCGTAGGTAGACAATAACATCGAATAATTTTTAAAATCTTTTATAATTATGATCATTAATGAATGATCGTTAAAAAAAAAAAAAAAAAAACAATTAACGACCAATTAAGGGTGTATTTAATTTTAAAAAAAAAATGGCGCGAAAAATTTTCAAATTTAAACGAATTAAAAATTTAAAAAAAATTTTTTTTTAGAAAAAATTCGAAAATCGGTCGAAATGATGATAATTTCGTAATGGAATCAAAACGGTTGAGTTTAACCATAACACGATTGTTGATAACAGGAGACCGTTGCAAATTGATAAGAAAAATATAAATAAAAGAACAATAGAGAGAGAGAGAGAGAGAGAAAAGGTTATTTAACGGAATTATGATAGTAGAATAAATAAATAATAATGATGATAATAATGATGTTTTGACGTTTTTTTTTTTTTTGTTTTTATTCACAATTTAAAACATTTTTATGTGATTTAAACGTAAACGAAATAATGAAAACAAAATTAAAAGACGAAAATGTCGCAATTTGTTTATTCGGCTTCTTTTTATTTATTTATTTATTTTAACGTTATCGATAACGAAACATTCCAATTTATTTATTTTCATTTTAGAAAAAAACAAAAAAAATGGAAATATATATAGTTTTTTTTTTCCCTCCGGATTTCTCGAACTTTGACCTTTAATCCTTTTTTTATAACAATTTTCGATCGGATTTAAAAAAAAAAAAAAAATTCGACGCAAAATGATGATTGACATTATATAGTAGAACGGATATTGTTGCTCTCTCTCTCTCTCTCTCTCACTCTCTTTTTTCGAAAATTAGATCATAAAATTTGTGGTGAAATTTTGCGGTTTAACCGGATATGACTTACTGGAATCATGGAGGACGAACGTGTCATTAATAATGCAACAGGAATTATAAAAACCATAAATCGATTTCAGTTTTTTTAAATAAATAAATAAATTTATGTATTTTCTTTTTTGGCGCGAGTGTATATAAAACGATTAATAATAATAATAAATTTTTTGATTTCAGTGTCGGAATTTAGCTTTGACAAAACCCGGAAGTGGAACCAAATAAAGGACGCAATTAAGAAAAATCAATCCGACGCTAAATCCCAGGCATATGCTCAGGTTTAAATTTGGATCCGTTAACAATTGAAGGTACACGTCGTTGTCTCTCGCAAATCTTTCTCTTAAATATTCTTGTCCGCTGTTGAATCGGCAAAGCCACGTGTCGGCATCTCCGTGATGGGTTTTGTTACGACACGTGTGCTTTTCAGAAAATGGTAAATCCACGTGACCGCTCCAAAGGTATTCGTGTATGAGAAAAGAACCCAAATAACGGGTTTGAGTGCAGTACGTCAAATACGTCAACCATTCGGCGAGTCCGCTGTAGGCTCTGGAAGAACGAAATGAAAATTTTATGTGTAACGAGGTCCGCATTTTCCTTTTTTTTTTCGAAGGGGGGGGGGTTTAAAATTACTTCAAGTTTCCGCTTCCGAGTACCAACGTCAGTATCGTTATTGTGCAACTCGTGAGACCCGCAGTGAGTCGCGTTTGCACGACCAACATCACGACCATTGTTTGATGTTCGGCAAGTAAAACGGCTGACCAAAGGGCGCACGTGAGACGCATCCAATCGTTTTCGCTCGAATAATCCGACAACCTAAAATAAAAATAATCAATCGAACGAAGAAGAAAACGGAAGTTGAACAAACCCAAAAAAAAAGACTTACAGGTGAATAATTTTGGCGGATGCCAATGTGGATACAAAGGAAAAAGGAAGAGAATACACGGTGTAGACGATGTAAAACAATGACCCCCCGTACAAGCCTTCTTGTGATTCCTGATAATACCTCGTTCTGTGTTGATAAACTGAAATTACAAAAGAAATGGTGACGTCACGCACATAGTACCTCTCGCTTAGTTTCTTTTTGTTCCTGCTTTACTCACAAGTGTAAACAGTTGAAACAATGGATGTAAAATAAGCAGCCGCCATTACGTTGAACACGAATCCGTTTCTCGATAGAAACGTTCTCTGATAATTTCCCATGTTGAAATACAAACCGTACAAAAGTGAAAATATCAGCGGAAGAAATAAAAGTCTTAGGAAAACGTTTTTGAATCCGTCCGAGGATAAATTGAACGTCGTAGCTAAATTTCGCCTGAAACGAATAAATGATAATGATGATAATGCTGACAAATAAGAAGAATATGGAAAGAAGGAAATCTCACATGTAGAGAGTGGATGCGACTTGAAACGTTCCAGGACGTCCGAACGCGGATAAAGGAACTTTATGTTGATTTCCAGCCATCAAAGGATCAACGGCTTCGCTTTGACTCGCTGGTACCGCTTTTCTAAATGGTCCACCTTCGACTTTGAATTTTTCAACGAGGGCTGCTATTTGATGATTTGATTCTATGAACCTTTCGCGTGATCTTCTGTCCACCGTCGACAAGCACACTGAAAAATGAAGGCAGGAGGATGACAATAAACCTTTTCTGCTTTCTACCTCCGAAATCTTTTTTTTTTTTTTTGTAACGGAAATGCTTACGATAGTACATGAGTGGATTTTCAAGTTCCGGACAGGGAAATCCGATTCCGCGAAAATATTCAAGCATGAATTGTGTTGCACCCGTGTAAACGACGTCACCCAGGCAAAGATAAGTCACTCGATCCAAAAAAGGGAAAACGTCAGACCTTGAATAATCATCATCATCATCATTATCTATTAAGGTACTCATCAAATTTAAAATTTTTGGCTTAATTAGGAATACCTTGGTTTTTCCATCGTCAATATGATGGCCCTGTTGTATTTTTTAGCGTGATTGGATAGTATGGATACGACTAGGTACGTGTTCAGAGGATCCAAATCCCACGTAGGCTCGTCCAAAAGTAACAAAACGGGATCTCTCATGAGTTGAACTCCAATCATGAGCCTCCTGTACTCCGAATTTGAAAGTCCATCAACTTTTCTGTTCGCGACTTGAGTCAATGCCAAATCGGCGAGAACCTGACGAACTCTCGACCTTTTCATGTATTGGGTCACCTAAGGGGGGGCAAACAATTTTACGTGAAATAATTTATCCAGGTATCGTAATTAATTATAAATCACGTGTGGGTGTGTGTGATTTTGCGTAGGTTTAATACCTTAGAACCGATGGTCAAGTTGCTAGCAAAATGCAACGTTTGCATGACCGTCAAAGATGGTATGAGGTCGCATTTGTGTGTGACGTAACCGCAATTGTTTTGAAATAGTGCGGCACTCATGGGTGCTCCATTTAAAAGTATTTCTCCCCTTGTGGGCCCCCTCGTTCTCCTGGAAATGACTTCCAACAGGGCACGTTTTCCACTTCCTAAAAAATTTAAAACGGGAAAATTATTTTAAATAATGGAAACGGCAGGAAAATTCCCTGTTCATTTTTTTTTTGAGTATTTTCGTGCCATTAACGTCGATTGAAGTGTCAGCAACGAAAACATTGTTACACATGTAATTTTGTTTTTATTTTAAATCATTAATTATTATTTTTTGCTGCCGTTTGCGTTTTTTTTTTTTTTTCAATTCGTGTTCGATTGTCCTGGTGACACGGTGTTCTACTTACAAACCATCATTGTTCGCAAGCCTTTTTCTTTCATTATTATTATTTTTTTTTTTTCATTGCTTCGTTAATATCTGTATAACAATTCATTATTATTATTATTTTTTATGCATTGTACAATTTTAATCTGGAAAATTGGAGAAGAAAAGAAAATGACAAGCGTTGCGATTGAGATTGCGTTGGTTGCATTGTTTATTGTACAAATTGTGCATGGAAAAACATTTTTTTTCTTTGATGAATGGTTTGAAAAAGAAATAGAAAAAGAGAAAGATAGAGATAGATAGAAATATATAGAGAGAGAGAGAGAGAAAGATGGAGATAGAGAGGCAGAGAGAGATAGGGAGAGACAGATAGGAGGGATGGAGAGATGAAGATAGATATAAAGATGAAGATAGATATAGAGATGAAGAAATAGACAAAGAGGGAGGAATGGAGAGATAGACGAAGATAGACAATGAGAGATGGAGAGATAGACGGAGGTAGACAGAGAGAGAGGGAGAGATAGTTGGAGATAGATAAAGGGAGAGAGAGAGAGACATGGGGAGATAGACGGAGATAGACAGAGAGGGAGGGAGGGAGAGATAGACGAAGAGGGAGGAATGGAGAGATAGACGAAGATAGACAAAGAGAGAAGGAGAGATAGATGGAGGTAGAAAGAGAGAGGGAGAGGCAGTTGGAGATAGATAAAGGGAGAGAGAGAGACATGGGGAGATAGACGAAGATAGACACAGAGAGAGAGAGATAGATGGAGATAGACAGAGACCGAGAGGGTGGAATAGAGAAATGAAGATAAAGAGAAATAAAGATGAACGGATAGACGGAGATAGACAGAGAGATAGATAGAAATAGAAAGAAAGAGAGAAAGAGGAAGAGATAGAAAATGTGCTTGTACGCGTTTTTGAACCGACTGCTTGACGAAATCACTAATGAATTACTCTAATAGATTTCAAGGACAAAATTTGCTGACAAAGTTTCAAAAAGAGTCTTTTTTTTTGAGGGGGGGGGAATACAGCGTGGGCTATAACACAAAAATTTTTTTTCTGTCGGTTTTCTCTCTCTCTCTTCTCTCTATCATTCTCTTCCCTTCCGTCTGCTTGTGTTATTTTACATGTAAATTAACGGATAATACCTTTTGAACCCAAAACTGCCAAAACTTCTCCACTGTGTACTTCTAAAGAAACATCTTTCAATATTAATCCAGTTTTAACATTGTCCATTAATTTTTGAAAACATGTTCCCTGTTCGACCTGAAACGATTATTATGAATTAGCAAATAAGTATATTTAATACCTTAATTAAAAAAGAAAAATGAAAAGCAGACGACGTGTGTTTAGACTATTAGTAATTACAAAAAAATTTTTATCAGTAACAATAATAATAATAATAAGAACAACATTAAAATACGTTATGTTTACAAAACAAAACTCAAAATCTAATCTTTTGAAATTCTTATGAAAAATTGTAAAAAAAAAAAAAAAAAACAAAATGTCGGACGGGTAGGGAAAAAATATAACCGTCAACTCAAACGATTTATGATTAAATTTCTTAATAAACAAACTTGTCATTTTGCTATTATTATTATTATTTTAAATATTAATAAAAATAAAATTTACTTCTCCGGTGTGAAATACATTTGACAATTCCAATACGTAAACATTACTTAACATTTTTATTAAAAAAAAAAAAAAAAACTTTAAATACAAAAAAATAAAAATAAATAAAAAATTTAGTCCATTCTTTCCTACGTTGTGAGTGTCGACTGGTTGAAAAATTAAAAAAAAAAGATGGCGGACGACGAGTGTACCTAAGTACTCTCTCTCTCTCTCTTTCAGGTATCCCACAACAAGGTGTGCATTTGCGAAACATAAATTCGAATTGAATTCCAGGTAAAAATGGCATAACGAACCTGACTGGACACGAATTTAAAAATCCTTTTTACTCGTACCTCCTCCTCCTCATAATAAAACGCGAAAAACTATTTTTTAAATATATCGAATCGTAAATTGATACGTCGAGACCGTTAAAAACTAACGGTCGCCATATTTTTTTTCCCCTCCGCTTTTCGTTATGCCTTCGAGCGATGAACGACGAACGGGGGGTAGAGGTGAAGTGGGGGAGTAGGGGAAGGAGGAGGGGGAGAAGGTAGTTTACATGAGTGCGTGCGAGTGAGCGAATGAAGTGGGGGGGAGGGAAATGAAAATTATTATTATTATTTTTCAAACGCCGGTAAAGCGTGTGTTTAAAATTTTCAATTTGAATTTGTTATAATATTTTACGCACACACAATCTTCGTTTTAAATCATTGAGTTTTGGACAAACGACAGCAAAATTTTATAGTATTCGATAAACGACAGCAAAAACAACCGAAAAAAAAAAATTTTTTTGTTTTACAAAATACTTTCTCGTTGTATACCCTATTGCTCTAGAGCAAATTAAAACTCGTTTTGAATTTACGGTACATGATCAAATGCTGCCAACCGTAGAATTTATATTTTCTCTCGGAATTCGTCATAATAATAATAATAATAGTAGTAATTCATTATTATTATCATCACAGTTTCGGAATTTTTTTTTTTTTTATAATATAATTTCCTGCATCCAGAAAGAAAAATATTTCCATTCTTTTCGACTTCCTTTTTTTTTACGTAAAAATTTCAAGGATTTAATTATGAATTTTCAGGTTCTTCTCCCCTCTCTTCCTTTCCCTCCCCTTTCCCTTCCTCTCCACTACCCTCTCTTCATTCTACCCTACTCATTTTTTTTACAATTTTAAAACTACGAAATGCATAAAAAAAAATAAACAAAAGTTAGGATAAAAAATAAATTAAAAAAAAAAAAAAATTTCAGGTACGAAAAATATCACGTAAGCTAAACATAACCACTAAAGAAAAACATTAATAATAATAATAATACATATGTATGTTAAGAATTGTAGGAATTCAATTACCCAAAAAAAAAAAAAAAAACCTGAACGTAAACGACTTTTGTTGTTGTTGTTGTTGTTATATTGTGAAACACATTCATTTCATCCACAACCTCACGATCTTTCATTTACGTGTAACACACTTAAATATTCAAAAGTTGGCAACAATAAAAAAAAAAAAAAAATTCAGGCTGTCAACGTATATACCACCACAATCGTAACCGAGTTTATTTACTTCGCAAACGGAATCGTAGGTTCGTGTTATTTATTATTATAGTAGTGTACCTTAAAAAATTTTTTTTTTTTTCTTTTTTTTGTTTGTGTTTTCGTTATGTTGTCGTTTTTGATGTTGTCGTTACTGCTGCTGCTGCTGTCGTCGTAGTTTGTGATGAAGTGAATTTTCTTTCTTTTTTTTTTTTACCCCCCATTTGGGATTTCTTTTTGGATGGAAATGGATGGAAACAACTTACAAGTGAGTGTTTTATTTATTTATTATTATTTTTTTTATGTTTATCGGTTTTATTATTATTATTATTAGTTTTTAAACAAACGAACGGATTCGTTTTTACATTTTTCTCGAACGTGTTATAATAATAATAATAATAATAAGGATGCCGTCGTTTATTGTATAAAATTCGTAGGCGGTTGTATGTCGAACCTACTCGTATTATAAACGTGTTTAATTTATTATTATTATTATTATTATTATGACTATTATTAATATTATTATGATTCAATCGTTAGTTACTCATTTTCTATGCGTTTCCTATGAATGCGTAAAAAGTGCGTGTGGGTTTGACTCTTCTCTACTAAAAGGAAAAATTTTCCTTAATTATTATGAATTATTCTTAAATTCTTCTTCCACTTCTTTATTTTAAGTTTGTCTGTTGTTATTATTATTATCATTATTATTATTTAATTACGTGTGTGCCGGTTGTGATGGTTTCGTATTAATCGTTTGATGGAAAAGGTTTGTTGGTTTGTTTGTTTGTTTGTTTTTCGCGAAGGGAAAAAGGTATCGGTGAATGATGTCGTGTCAGTAGAATTTTTTAAATTTATTTATTTCGATCATTTTCACGACGACTCAAATACGTCGTTAATTATTATTATGTACGAACGAGGGGAGATTAAAAGAAAAAAAAAAAAAACAGGTTTTTCAATCAGGTGCGGTATGATGATGATGATGATAAATTTGTTTCGACGAATGTTTTTATTCCCGGGTAGGGGTGGTGGTGGTGGTGGGAGAGGAAACGGGATGAAATGTTTTATTTGAAATTTAATTTAACTACCGGAAGGTTTTCGAAAATTAAAGTCCCAAACGTACCTAACGGAATGTAAAAAATGACAAAGACTTAACCTTTGACATTACTGTTATTATTGTTATTATTATTATTATCGTGTAATGAATCGATGGAAAAAACAGGAGGAGGAGGGGGAAAAAAAATAATAAAAAAATTCTCCGAACTAATTTATTTAAATGGCGGATGTCGTTTAAGTAATAACAATAATAATAATAATAATACTTGGCGTACCTGATTTTTTTTTTAAAATGTCTTCATTAGCCGTAATTAAAAGGGAAAAAAATTTTTTTCTCTTTTTTACCAAAGTTAAATTCGTGTCATCGAACTCGTAGGTTTAATAAATTTTCAACGTTCGAAATTCGGCGTTTTTTTTTTTTCAAATGATGGCAACACGTTTAAATTTCGTTATACGTTGATTTAAAAAATAAGAGAGAGAATAAAAATGAATTTTTTTCGTTTTTCTCTCTCTTTGTCTCTCTCATCCATTCTCTCTCAAATAACAAATCTTATAAACTATTGAAAAAAAAAAAATATACGAGTTAAGAATATAAAAAGCGTGAGAAAAAAATAATTCTTTTGACACGACAAAAGTTGTTTTTAATATGGAAAAAAAATCATTTCGTCGATTGACAGAACAACTAAAAAAAATTCTTTTCGTGGGTGTGAAAAAAAAACGTTACGTCACGTGACAACAAATTTAAAATATAAATTTTTTTCTAAATTAATTAATTTAAATTCGTAATCGTTATTTAATTATCGCCAATTATTATCGATACGGAAAAAAATATACGACGTTTCCCGCCATTTTGTTTTTTGTTTTATTGTGCAAAGGTTGAGCTTATCGAACATTAAATGAAAAAAAATGGCGGCGGAGGGAAAAATGTCGCGAGATTAAAAAGAGGGAAAAAAAATTAGCGTGTGAGGTTAAGAGAGAGAGAGAGAGAGAGAAAACAGGAAAAGGAAGAACCCGACACGTTTTCATTCGACGTGATTAAAATAAAAAAAATAGAGAGAGAAAGAGAAAGAGAGAGAGAGAGAGAGAGAGAAAAGGGTTAATAATATTAAATGATATTTTATCAGATTTGTCAGGTTAGTGATCCAAGATGGCCATCGCCCGAGACTTTTAAACTCTACACACACACACAAACACCACAATTTAAAAATCTTGTTAACCGAAGCATGAATTCGAAAAATAAATTTTTTTTCATCAGGTACGCATCAGAGTATGAACACGTCGTACCTTTACCTTTTTAAAAAAATTTCGGATAAAAAAATTAATTCTATTTACACGACGTTACGAATTCGATTTTTAAAAAAATTGTCGTCGTCATTTGTTTCCATCGTAATCCCCCCTCAAAAAAAAGTGGAAACAATAAATTTTTAAAAATGTCTCTCTCTCTCTCTCTCTGAATTCTTCTACCACGTGGAATTTAATTCATTCTAAAATGAAAACAATCAATAGTTAATAATAATAATAATATTTAAAATATTTAAAGAAAAATGTCGAAATGAGGTCAAAATGCCTCCTTTTATCTTTTTTTTTCCTCCTTTCCCGTTTTTTTTTTTTTTTTTGTTTATTGTTTAATCTGGTTCTTATGGTTTTTTAAAAAATCTTCTTTCGTACCTGACTCGCATTTTATTATTATTATTATTATTATGATCTTACTGTTACTTTAAGAGCGAAAAAAAAAACAAGTTTCGTTTCAGGTTCGGTAATGATAAACTTGATTTTTTTTGGTTTTCGATTTCTCCCCTCCCCCTATCTCTTTCTACCCTCCTATAGTGCTGCTCCCTCTTTTCTCACGAATACGTTCATTCAAATGAAAATAGAATTTTTCCGGGAATATTGTGGGAAAAAAAAAATGTAAGAAAGAAAACAGTTTCCCTTGACATAAACCTGAATTTTTTTATCTCTCTCTCTCTCTTACTCAACAACACATTTAAGAATGAATGATCGTTCGAGTGTGAAAAAAAAAAATTTATTCCAGGTATATTTTAAAAAGGTAGTCAGCTCTTCCATCGATTTTGTTTTTTTTTTCGAAAGGTAAAAGGAAAAAAAAATGAATTTCAGGTACGACGTTCGATTGAATGAATAAAGCCTGTTTTTACTTTGGCCTTAATTTCATTCGTGAATTGTTTATATGTTCTTTCCTCACTTATGATATTCGTTTCCGTTATTATTATTATCATTTTTCCTTATTTTTTTCCCCGTACCTGTTTTTTTTTCACACCGCCTTTCATTAATTTTTCCCGAACGGTTTTGTTTTAATTGAATTTTAAAATCGAACGCATGTTTATTCGAGAATAAATGAAATGATTTTTCCACGAAAATTTTTTATAAAATTTTCGTGTTTTTCTTTTATGTTTGTACACCGAAGTAATGTGTTGTGGTTGTTGTTGTTGTAGAAAAACAAAGAAAACTCGTCAAACCGTAAATATAAAA